TGAACACAGGAAGAGTGGGTGGGTGAGGTTCTGAGAGCTTGAAGCCCTGGGAACCACGGCTCTGCTGCAGGACCCCCTGCAATTCTCTTAAACCCCCAGGGGACTAGGACAAGTTACATCCTTACTTACCAGGTGCCATCCAGGATACAGCCAGGGAGGTGAGGGCAGATACAGATGGTAATCACCATATCTAATGACTGCCTGTGGACTAGTGTTAGGACTCAATCCAGACACCACTTTTACAACTATAAATATAGGGTTGGAGTTGAGGACAACAGTAGGAGTGTAGTTGAACTATATATACCCTTTGGTACAGTAGTTCCTGTAATGATTTGGACTCCTTAGCTGCTCATTCCAGAGAGGTGGAGTGGGTTGCCAGCAGGCTCAAGAGATACCATGGACCCCCTTTCCTTCCCTTTCTGCTTTTCCAGCTCCCTAGTAAAAACTTCCTCCTGGGAGAACTAAATGTGGGTGTGGGTATGTGCTGAGTGATATTGGAAATCAACTTTCACTTGGCAGGTGGTATTGCTTTGGTATGTTGGGAGAGGGGTGTTTGCAGTTTGATTGGCTGTGTCTTCCTCATTAACATCTTTGAAAAGTGCTAGAGAAAAAGAAGTCATATACTTGTGTCTTTCCCACCTGAAGCCAATTTCTTGTAATTTGTGTCCGTAGATGGTGTTCTTGCTGGGTTTTGTTCAAAATTAAAATCAATGAAAGAACAAACTACATCCTTGAGAAAAAACAGCAATGCAAAACACTGGCAAATAACTCTTTAGCCCAGTTTTTGTCCTGACTGTAAGAGGGGGAAAAGGAGTTGGTGTGCCTTTGACGTGATAGTCGGTGGCTTCTCCACAATGTCTGTGAGTTCTTTTTGTACATTCATAGGTATAACCACCCTGGCTGCTGGTGAGAAGGGGAGGGGTGGAAGGCACGCTGTCCTTTCTCTTAAATGACTGCAGGAGAGCAAATGGTGGTTAAGTTCTTATCTGCTGAGTGATACTGGAAAACAACTTTCATGAATTTTCAAATTTGAGGCCAATGTTTGTTCGGTCATCATCTTTGCAGTGAATAGGAATAAATTGAGCAATACATGACAAGAAAAACACTGGCTGAAAGGTAAACCTTGTGGGATGCTGGCTAGGCTCCTTGCCTTTGTCCCGAGGCACAGCTGCAGCAGTGGTTTCTGCCACAAGGTGGCGGGCTGCACTTCAGAACCACCCCTAAAGCCGGAGGGAGGGGTCATGATCTTTCTCAGATTTAAGTTGCTTAAAAGGAGAAGGATAGAGTCAAGTTTCCCTCTACCAAAGAGTAATTGCAAGCTCACAGTTGTCAAAGACCCATCCAGACTGGCTCATGTAATCTTAGTAGAAGCAAGAATCTGAAATTCAGGAGGACATTGGACCAAAAACTCTAAGTGGACAGAAATGGGAACTAACAAAACTGCTACAGCTTTTCCCTGTAACAGCTTCTGAGAGAGCAGCTCTGTGCAGAGGCCAATGTCCCAGTGGGCCCAAGTCTTACTGTGGGAGTGTGCTTGGCCCTTCAGTTAGTGCTACACAGCAGGGAGCGCAGAAACCATTCTCCCCTGCCCCACCCTGGCTGCTGACTTCTGGTTAGGATACTGTTCATTAATGAACAGTATGGAGCTTCTGACACTTGCCTCAGGGTTCACATCAACTCCAGATGTCACCGCCATCCAAGCTGAGCTGCATTTAGATCCACTTTTGTGATTCCTCCATGCAAAGACCCCAGAAACAGCACCCATCCAAGGTTCTCTGGATAGTGCTGAAAACCACCAGCTGTACTGCAGAGCTTGGGGCTCCCCTCTTGGTCCCTGCTACTCCCTCAGGAGCAGACTTCACTTGAGCTCACTTTTGTTTTCTCAAGGAAGCACTCATTGTCACTTAAATTCTGAGATCTTATTCCTTCGATTTCCCCCATGAGATTGCACAAATAAACGAGAAGCAAAATTAATGAATGAACTAAGTCTCTTTAACTAAGGAATCATGTCACATCTGAGCAGCTGAGATGGCAGCTGTAAGCCAAGTCCTCCCTGGGAGTCTCAGGAAGCATTGTTGACGCTTAATGGCCAAGTATGACGGAGACTCCCAATGTGTTATGATTGGAATCAGTTCTGCTCTTCCTACTCTTAAAAATCCCTAGTTGTGTAAGAAGAGCTCCTTTTCTCAGATGAATTATCAACCGATGCCAAAGGTGCTGCTTTCTCAAAATGCAAGGGAACACAGATTGAGGAAGAGGTGGGAAAATGACTGCTGCAGGGTCCAACCTCAGCCTCCCTTGTATCCCTGGAATGAAGGAAGCATGTGCTGACTGAGAGCCTGCAGAGTGGCTCTTGGTAGACTGGGGACTCTCAGGTCCTCTGATGTCCAAAGATCAATTTGGGGGAAACTTGGCTCCTAAGACCATGTCTCTTATGATTTTCCCATTCCAGTTCATGTGGGTGACTTATTTGTATAAAGCATGAGCACCCAAGAATCTAGACCTGAGGCTACTCTGCCTGGCTTGGGCTGTACATTGGCCTATAGAGATGGAGGCTTTCAAGAGTCGGCACATTATTTTAATGGAAATCCAAATGTCCCTCCGAATGAGTTCCACCCACCCCTACTAACACATTTCCTGGTTAAGGAAGTATTCTAAAACACCAATGGGGTGAGCCACACATAAATGGGGCATATTTACTTCATCCTTTTGCATATAAGGTACCTAGAACTTCTTTGTCATATATCCCCCAGTAGAAGAAACCCCGTCATAAAGCAGAACTCAATATAAAATTTTACATATAGCCTTTTGTTTTCTGGAAACACAAGCTCACACCACACATGCTGAGGCCAGTGACACTAATAACAAAGCTCCCGTCCACAGCTATTTGCTCCCCACCCTCCCCAAATTTTCCCTTCAGCAACCTACTTGAAGGAAAGGACACATTCTTGTCACTCTCTTGTCCCTGTTGGCATTGGGAAGAGGGATGTAGGTGAGGTGATTACTTCAACACAACTGTTTTGGGGCAGCCTTGAAAGTCTGCCTAGGCTTAGGCAGGTCAGTTCCTAGTTCCCAAGGCAGTCCTTATAGAGGAACTTCTGGGGGCACTCCTGAATCTCTGTAGCCTATGAGCATCACTACCCCAAGATCTATAAAATAGTTGCACTCTAGAACTATCCTGCAAGCACGGGCCTGCCCAGGCTGGCCAGAGAAATGGCATTGTGTACAGAATGTGTGTCCCTCCCTAGTGACTGGGTAGGGCAGGACCACATGCTCACTGAGGTCCCTCCCAATGCTATAATTTCATGTGTGCAGCATTTCTGCACGTGACCTCACATGTCCATGGTTTTCTTTCTAGCTAAATAGTACAACACCACATAGTACTGCCGGCCTGTCCCCAGGCCACATCCTGCTGTCTCATTGCTGAATTCAGTTTGCTGCCCTGCAGAAGGGCAGGAGGAGTGGGGAACAGCTTTTTAGTGTCTTTAATTAGGCAATAGAGAAAAACAAAGTCTGGCTGGAAATTACCACTTGAAGCTTGTCCGATGCCAAGAAAATAGCACTGGCTCCCGAAGCCGGGATAAATGCTAGCCATTGATTTCAAGGACACATGTGTGTGTGTTGGGAGTGTGTGTGTGGGTTAATAGCACAATACCACCTGACTCCTGAAAAGGAAGCTGGTTTCCTCTGCCCAGTGTACATACCAATCCCAATACACCCCATTTCCTTAAACAGATCTTTAATGTGGGAAGACAGTTAAAAAAAAAAATCTCATCTCTATTGTGAGAATGGCAAGTGGAGGTCATTGTTGTGAACACAAATCTGGGAACTCTAGGGTGGCATTTCTACAGCCACCTTCCTGTCTCAACCGGCAGGACATGGTTCTCCTTGAATGTCACAGCTGGGGTTTTTAACCTGCTTCCAATTAGCAATGAGACTTATAAGGTATCATGGAGCTACTTGGTGGGAATTATCCCACTGCCATTTGTCTGCATCAATGACCTTTAGGATCTCCTGCACCATGGAGAAGGGACTTTTTCATTGGCACGGTGAAGTGAGTCTTCCCTAACATTTTCCTCCAGTGTAGCCACGGTATAGACCTAAACCTTTTTAATAAACCTTCCCACTGAGCTTAACTAAACTACACATCTGCTCTAAAAGGGGAATTCTGGTGACAGGGATCTGGCTGACATTAGTAGTTAGTACTTCAGAAAAGTCAGCCCAGTACAGGCCACTAAAGTAACACAGATGACCAATTTTTCTGTTGCAATGACAGCAACTCCTCACTGGAGTCTGTTCCTTCTGTCCTCACAAAAAAGTAGCTGCAAAGAGGGCCTCCTTTTCTCCAAGGCAGTCATGACCTAGGGCAGGGACACAAATTCTATACATCTTCCAAGGGAGAGGCCTAATCTTGTACCCTCATCTGCCTCACCCTCTAAGGGACAATGGTAGAATTTCTAGAGAAGCCTCTAGCCTTAGGACAGAGCTAGACTTGGGCAGCCCCAACTCTTACTCTATTCTTCACAGGGAGACTCCTGCAGGAGTCCTTGTGTTTTCCCAACCAGCAATCTCAAGAGGGAAAGAGCGGGAATGTCCATAACAATGTCTATAATCTAGGGATTCACCTTGGAGCAAGTACCAAGCCAAAGGGATGGTGACCAGAGCTCCTGGAGGCATCTGTCTCTGGCACTCTAATCAAAATCAGCTTCCTGGCTTCTGGAAACCAAGATGATTTGACAGATGGCCAAGTTCTTGGAATTTTTTTTCTCTTTCTTTTTTCTTTTTATCCCCCTCAATACCGGGGATCAAACCCAGGGCTTTCTTGCACATGCTAGTCAAGTGCTCTACCACTGTGCTCTTGGGATTCTAAAAATTCTGGAACATGGCTACTAGAGGTTCTGTATGCCTTTCCCTCCACTGCCCACCCTCTAATAGAGCACTCAAGTGAAAAATATTTTTGTTATTAAGAACAGGGAAGGCCACTAGATGGTAATGTCCAGAGATGCCTGCTTTATTTCTTACTAGGTGATTGCGTTTCAGGCTGGCAACATCAAATAGTCTAATTACCAACTAATTTTGTACCTCTGAACTACAAATAAAAATCCAATTTAGCAAGGAACACTGTCAACAGCTTATGCGGGTGGGTTGTGGGGTTTTCCAAATAAATTGTTTTGGTTGGCAGATGGCAGAGTTGAGTCAAGGGTAAGCCCTTGGATTGTTTAAAGGCTGACACCTGACTGAGATAGGCTAAACCCCTGTGAATCCCTGGGCCAAAGTCTCTCACCCCAAATGTGGTCAGTTCCACTCAAACAAAAGGGCAAGTTACCTAGGCCTAGCAAAGGGTACCCATGGCCTACTTGTAGTTGACATGCCCTCTGTCCTCCCTCTTGCCTGAGAACACAGCTTCTTCTGAAGGTTCTTAAGGACAAGCTAGATTTCTAGTAAATTCTTGCTTTTCAGTTCTGCTTTGAAAAGAAAAGGGAGTGACAGGGGAAACTGAAAGGGATGCAGATGCCTCAGCAAAGGTCCAGTGGCCTCAGGCACAGAGCTGGGCCAGAGATCTGTGCAGCTGAGCACGGCTCCTCTAAGAACTCAGGGCCAAGTTTCTTGTAAAGATATCAAGGAGAAGAATTCAAGAACAAAATTCCGAGAGAGTAGAAGCTGCCCGTATGAGCAGGCAAAAACCTGGAGAAGGTCAAGACCAAGGAAGAAAGAGATAAAAGGAAGGAATGCAAAACTCTAATCATATGGTAGGAGCTCAATAAAAGTAAGCAATTATATGAATCATTACCTTAGCTACTTGTTTTCTCACCAAAAAACCCCACACACTTTGTTTTAGATTTGGGAGTCCCCTGCCCAAGAACCCACTGATAAGCTGCTATTTCTCCCTCAGACCAAGAAAGACTATATCTACGTCCCCTATAAAAGGATGCTCTCCCCAACAGCTCTGAGCTGATGTCTGCTGAGGCCACGCCCTTTCTCCACTCCACCAGCATGTGCGTGTGCGTGTGGAGCAGCTCCCTTCTGGCTGTTTTGTGTGCGTGCTGACTCCAGAGCCAGAACCCTAATTCGATGTCTCTGCATGCTTATTGTGCAGAATACCCTGAACAATCCTTCACCAAGAGCTAGTGACCTGGAGAGAGTGCTGCAGTCCCAGTTCTGGCCCAGTTATGCCATCCCTGTGAATGCCAGGCAGAATCTCCAAATATGGCAGATTCTGCTGCTGCTGTGAGGATGTGCACCCTTGGGTGCTAGTGAGGAGTTAATGCAGAAACAAGGCACCACAGAGAGGTTGGAAATTTGGGTTGTGTGATTTAGGACCTGCTGGAAAAGTCCAAGGGCAGAGGGGAAGAAGGGGAAGAGGAGGAGAATGAGTCTTAAATAAGGTCTCAAGAGGCTGGAGCCCCACTAGATGGGCTCTGGCTTGAGCTTTTCTGCTAGGAAGTCATTCACAAAGGCCTCCACAATGGCAGGGGTGATCTCCTCCACGTCCATCACATACTTGGCCCGGGCTGACATGTCCAGAATGGTGAGCAAAGGGGCAGCTTCAGGCAGGTTGGTGTAATCTCGCAGGGAGTCAGTCATATCATCCTGGAAGTCACCAGAGGGGAGAGAAAACCAGTAAGTTTTAAAAAGAAGAAGTCCCCTGGGCCCCATCTCCCCAGACTGCATGGAATGGGACAATTCCATCATCCTGAAGAGCAGGCTACCCTCAAGGAGAGGTGGGTTCTTGGCACAGGCAGCAGGAGACCGTGCCCTGTTATGGGGAGACCACTTCAAAAAATTCCCTCAGATCCCCCAAACCATCAAGCAAATCATCTTTATTAGCATGAAAGCAACTCTGGTTATATCTTCTGCTTTTTAAAAATGTGATGTCTTTTGATTGCTTATTTTTGCAAGCAACTCTCAATTACTTGCTAACTCTACTGTGGCTTTTCTGAGGCCATCTGAACTTCAATTCTGGAAAGTTTTTAAACAAAAAACAACTCACTACCCACCACCCCATGGTTTCAAAGAAGGCAGGAGACACATAGCTGGCCAACTCTAAACATAGCTGCGCAAGCACCAAGGTTACACTGCTTCACTGTATTTGTTTGAGAAGGACATGGACACTTTCTTGTACATTCCCAGCAGCTGTGCGGGTGAACTTCCCTCATATCAGATACTGCCTGATTCAAATATAAATGCAAACACAAATCCAAAGACAAGAAAAAGGTTTTGTCAGGGAGCAACCATTTAAGGTTACCTTTCATGACACTGACCCCCATGAGGTAGATAACAGTCAATGGACTTTACATACCCATCCTGAAGTCATTTCCCTACAAAATGCACAATATTCTAAACCCAATGAAAAAGACAGACACTGTTATGGTTTGGATATGAGGTGTCCCCCAAAAGCTCATGTATGAGACAACGCAAGAAGGTTTAGAGGAGAAATTATTGGGTCATGAGAGCCTTAACCCAATTATTGAATTAATTCCCTGATGGGATTAACTGGGTGGTAACTGAAGGTGGGTAGGGTGCGGCTGGAGGAGGTGGGCATTGGGGGCATGACTATGGGGTGTATATATTGTATCTGGCAAGTGGAGTCTCTCTATGCTTATTGATCACCATGTGAACCACTTCCCTCTGCCACACTCTTCCACCATGATGTTCTGCCTCACCTTAAGCCCCATGGAATGGAGCCTGCTCTCTATGGATTGAGACCTCTGAAACCATGAGCCCCCCAAAAAACTTTACATCCTAAAATTTTTCTTGTCGGATCTTTTAGTTAAAGTATCAAAAAAACTGACTAAAACAAACATTTTGCCGAAAAGGGGCTTGGATTATTCTTGGTCTCAGATGGAGGTCAGCAGGAAGCATAAAATTTATGACTCACTGATTTCTTTTTTTAATATTTATTTTTTAGTTGTAGTTGGATGCAATACCTTTATTTTGTTTATTTTTATGTGGTGCTGAGGATCGAACAAAGGGCTTTGCACATGCTAGGCGAGCACTCTACTGCTGAGCCACAACCCCAGCCCATGACTCACTGATTTCTAAGACAAAAATAAAATTCATGTATCCATGGCAAATCTTTAGGTAGACTATTAGTGAGATGACCTTTCCTGCCCCCTAAAACACCATGCACTTCCCAGCAATGCTGTGTGATTCAATTTCTCAGGCACTCTTCCCCCAATTCAGGCCCTTCATGTGAGTTAGTAAAAAGTCTTCATGATAAATAAAGGGAGACACCTGGACAAATAATTTATGTCTCATTCCCATTAGGAGGCCTGCACAAGCCAAGCGTTCCACTGCTTGCCCTCCCTGGATCCCTCCAATCAAACCACACGGATGAATTTTAATGTCCACCAGGGTTTCAGAGGGGATAACTTTTGCCTGCCACAGGGATATGATTGAGACAAAGTCCTGGGCTCAGTCAATGCTCGATGTTCCATCTTCCTCTGCCTGGCCCCCTTCCTTCCATGCTGCCTTGCTTCTGAGCCTAAGGACAGAGAACTGGAACCTGGAAAGCCCAAAAGGCCAGAAGCCCACGTGAAATGCACAGGAAGAACATGCAGCCAGGTGGGGACAAAAGCCGCAGATGACTCAGATGCCTCTGTCCAGTTTTCTGGTCCAGGGAGCCTCCTTCCTCTGGGCATGAACAGGTCCATTTGTCAGAACACATGGACAGAAAGAGGAAGAGCACTGTTCCTGGAGTCACGGTAATCTCATTTCAGTTCCCTCCCTCGCTACCTACTTCCTATGTGACCCTGGCAAGAACTTCCAGCCCAGGTCCTAGCCCCTGTCAAATGTATTTAACAAAATGGATTTGACAGAGGTTCCTAACACATGGAGCTTCTGTGAGGGTAAACCAAAGGCCAGCAACCCCAGCCCTCTCAGAGAGAGCCCAGGGAGCAGTTTCAGGGCAACCCTTCATCTGGCTGGAGCCTTACTTTATTCCTCTGTGAGACAGGACGATGATTATGTTCCCAGGCAGAGAGGTGAGGTACAAAGGAAACAAGCAGGTGAAGCACTTGGCCCAGTGCCTGGGTTTCCGTAAAGGCCCCTTTTCAGCCATTTTCTAAAGCCCCGCCCCACAGGGACTCAGCCCTTTCTGTTCTGCACCCATCTTTTCTTCGGAGCCATTCTGTGGGGTTAGAGTTTAATAAATGCAGAGCAGCCTCGCTGGGCGCTTTGTGTGCAGCGCTAGTGAGCCCCAGGGCCTGTGAACCCTCTTTGTTCCTTTCCATCCCAGGGTTGGGCAGGGCGACTTGAGCTGCCTGCGAGGGGCCCTCTAGGGCCTGCAGGGGCAGCTATTGAGGAAGTGATGAATGGGTGGCTCAGGGTGTCTGGCTGCTGCCTGTCTTCTCCAGCCTCTCCTGGGATCCAAACAGCGTGAAATGAGCGTGTGGGCTCCTACCAACTAGAGGTACAGATGGGTGAATGAAGGAGGCAAGGGTAGTCTAACCAAGTGTCAATGACTTTTTCAGGGGGCACAGGGGTGGGATGCCATGAGCATGCGCAGAAGGGGATCCTGTGGGATAGACGCCTGCGCACCGCGCATGCACACATGTCCATCTTACTGAACGAAGCGGCTAGCGGGTTGGAGGTTCCCTCCTCTCCAGGGCTCCCTTCTAACCCTGGGAAAAGTTCCCTGTTGGTCCAAACTGTGGGGGCCTTCAAGGGCCAGGCCTTGGTTGAAAGGGATTGGGGATGACAACAGTTTCCAAACTTGATCCTCTTCCTGGGCTGGCTGGTAACTAACTGTACTCCCAACTACGGCCAAAACCAGAATCCCAGTAAAGAGCTAAGCTCATTTTGCAGGCTGGTGCAGAGAACCTAAACCAGTCCACACTTTATAAAGCACCCAGGGCATGGTTCTGACCAAGCACCACCGGAGAGAGGGTGGATTGTGAAAGTTTTTGGTGGCTGTTCTCCCCAGCAGCCTGTGTGGCAGCGGCCCTGAGAGGGCTTGGTACTGTTGCAAAAAGGAGGGGAAAAGGAAGCAGCAGGGGTAGGAAATGGTTTTCCATGTCTAATGACATGTCTTTTCTTCCACATTGGTCTGTGGCATAATCAGCTTGGTCCCAGAGGTCCCCTCAAACTTCCTAGAGGCCACTATTATATCCTAAAAGTCCCCAGCTAAGAGAGCCAGGGCCATATCCTCTCTCCACACTCACCTCCCCAGCCACAAAGAATAGAAGTGGTGCCTCCTCCTCTTTGGCTTTGTACTTGGCGATGATCTTCTCAGCTATTGGCTGAATCAGTTGTTTGGCTGCCTCAGATTCTCCATCATCCTCAGAATCTGTGATGGGGGAAAAAGAAACAACAAACTCTGGCTTGTCACCTACCACCCCCAAAGGCCTGGGGAGCTGGAGAAACACCCATCTAAACAGCCTCTGAATGGAAAAGAACCTCCTCTTAGACATAAATATAACTTTCCGTGTGCATGAGTGGGCCTACACACATGCACACATGTATGCACACACACACGTACTAGCAGCAAAGCAGGCTCTAACAGAGCTCTACTGCACAGGGCTCACCAGGAACAATTAGCCTCACTGAGTGACACAATGCCCCAGCCAGACAATGCTTTTCATTGAATTCTTTTTTTTTTAAGCCTTTTTTTCTTCTTCTTTTTTTTATATCTTTATTTTATTAATTTATTTGTATGCGATGCTGAGGATCAAACCCAAGGTCTCTCGTGTACAAGGGGAGCGCTCTACCGCTGAGCCACAACCCCAGCTCCTTCACTGAATTCTTTAAAAGCTGGGTTTCCTCTAAGCCAGGACCTGAAGTATCTGGTAGTTTTCTTCTCAATCATAGAACCAGAAGCCATGACCTGGGAACCTCCAGATTCCCAGTGAAAATGGCAGAAGTGGTGGTACAGTTGAGGTTGAGGACTGTGATTTCTTTAGTGGGTTTCATGGTGCTGGGGTGAGGGTACCACACCTGCTGTGATGCCACCTCCACAGCGAACAGCCAGACTCTCCTGGAAGGGGAAGACTGGCTACATGGGAGAACACAGACTGGAAGTGGCCATGTAGAGGGTCCCAGGGCTCAAGCTGCTGAAACCTGTAGCCAAGAGCAAAGGCAGTATCCCCAAGTGATAAAAGTAGGCTTCAGTGGTGGAGGGATTCCATTCATACATGCTACACCACATGATAAGTTTGTGGTGTGCAGAGAGAGCAGGACACACTCTGGATCTCCATTTAGTTTGCTTTGCCTCTCTATGACCCTTTCCACATTGCTGCAGATGGTCCTGAGGTTCCTAATTCATCCTGGGTTCAGAATTGTTTTCTAACTGGCCACAGATGTTGTGTGTATGCCTGCAGCAGGCCCTTTTCCAAGGCCACCTCTCTCCAGGCGGGCACCATCCCCACAACTCTGACCCAGGCTACAAGTCAGTTGGCTTAAGAATTCCTTCAGGTCTGCTTATTGGCTTCCCTCCTGAGAGCCCCTAAACCAGACTTCAGAGAATCGGGAGGATGAGGAATATACTCCCTGACCCTCGGTGAAGCAGATATGGCACATCTCAGCCATGTCCTAATACGGCAGTTCATCTGGAGGGGAGCAACAAGTCCTTAGGCCGAGGGGAAGGTGGCTCTTGGCCAGCAGTTGCTTAGTTTGCAAAAGCAACCTGGGTCATCCCAAAAGGCTGCAGAGACCTCACGTGAATGTTTCTCTGCCTCTTGCCCAGGCTGAGCACAGCACCCAAATGAGAGTTGCATTTGGCTACAGGGAAAAGATAGAGCCAAGAACACTGCCCTGGGCTGGCTCTAACAGCCTCTGGCTGTTAGCAGTTCCTCAGAGCACAGAGGAACACAGAAGCAGGTGGGAGTGAGCCAGGCTCAAGGGGGCCCAGCCTCCTGCAGCTGCAGTGCAGACAGCCCCGCCTCTTTCTTAGGGGGTGGGAGTAGGGGCATCCTCCTGGCCTGACCTATTCTGCCCAGCTGGCAGCCCAAGCAGCTACGGAGGAAAGCACAGCAGCTGTCCTAGACCACCTCCCACAGGGGAAGAGCCATGAATAAATCATTGGGGTCAAAAGCAAGGCTGGTAGGGAGAGACAAAGGCCTGGGCTCAGCCTGGGGCAGCAAAGAGGCTTCAGGGACAGGCACCACCCCCAGTGAGATCCATTCTGGCCCATCTCCCTCTGTCCCGCCACTGAGCTCCATACCTACAAAAAGGACGAGGCAGGGCCCCTCGTTGAGCTGCACAGCGTTGGAGTCAGAGAGCTCCAGCACGGGTTTGGGGTGCCATGGAAACTCCCTGCAGTCCTCATCATTGAGCACCTCCACCCGTCCCTGCCGGGTGATCACCTCCCCCTGTGGGTCCAACACAATGAGCGTGGGGATGCCTGCAAGAGAGAGAGAGAGACAGAGTTCACACTAGCTTGGCCACTGGCCTGGGAGAGGAGGTGTGTCTGGAGACACAATGCAGTCTCAGAGTTAAGAATCTGGGTCCCCAAGCTGGAAAGCCTCAGGTCAGCCACTAAATGGCTACAGAACTGCTGTGGTTCTGCCTGGAACCTCTCCATAAAACGCTGACAAGTCACCAGCCTGTCTAGGCCTCAGTGTCCTCAGTTGCAATGTGGTAAAGGTGTTGTAGTTCCTACCTTTTCTGGTTCCATCAAGAGCATGTAAAGAATTAGGCACATGCCCCGGGGAGGAGCTCAGTGGTGGAGTGCTTCCCTGGCACACACAAGGCCCTGGGTTCAACCTCCAGCACCGCAAAACAGAAGCAAAAATATTAGTACAGGGTCTTGGCACATGAGAGCAGCTGATCATTGGTGGCATCCTAAAGTGATCCTAATGGCACAGGAGACCTCCGCACTTGCAGGGAGTCTAAAGCTGACCGAGATGATGTTAGAACTCACACACACTCCCACATGGCACCCCTGCCATAGACGCACACGCAGCACTAAGCAACAGATGGAGCAGAGTCCTCACACGGGCAGTGGGGGGGGGGGGGGGCGCGCACCACAGTGAGCAGGGGAGGAGCCTACGGCCAAGGCTGTAGCCACACAAGTGAGGGAGGAAGAGAAGCCATGCTGCCAGCCCTGGCCTTTTGTGGCCCCCACTCTCCAGTCCCAGCCCTGCTGCCTGTGGAGGCTCTGATACATGCTCTGAGAGAGACAGTCCCCAGAGGGAGCAGTGCATGGGAGTCTTGGGCTGGAATAAGAAATGCATTGCAGGGGCTCTGATTGTGGCTCAGTGGAACAGTGCTTGCCTAGCATGTAGGAGGCCCTGGGTTCGAGTCTCAGCACCACATATAAATAAATAAAATAAAGGTCCATTTACAACTAAAATAAATATATGTATATTTTTAAAAAATAAATGTATTGCAGTTCGTCGGCAACAACCACCACCACCACCCCCCGCCCCCAGCCCAACACACACACAAAGCCTCAAGTGAACACTTAGAGAAAACCCATCCTGAGTTATGGTCACCTCTAAGTTTGCCACCACCCCCATTCTCCTCCAGCCGGGGCTACCCCCACCAACCACAGAGTCAGCCTTGGCCCTGTCCTTTGAGGACATGTGTCTCTCCATTGGCAGTTGGTCCCCTCTCCTTTGGAGCTATCCAGGTGCCTCTCCTCCACGGCAGACCAGAGCTTGAATTTTATATGAAAGCCAGAGCAATTTAATATTTATAGATTGCTAAGTATTTGGTCAGTAATTTGCTCCACTGACATTTTACTTCTCTATGAGGGGAACACCGAAGTACCAGAAATATGGCCTTGGTGCTTTGTAACCTGCAGCGGCAGTCAGCCCAGCGGGCATGCAGCGGTGGGCCCATCTTCAAAAGGAATAAACGAAACCATTATGTTCTAACTATTAGAAGAAGTGGCTGGGTGTGTTAGGGGAGAGGTCCAGAGAGAAATGGGCTCCTGAGGACTGCCATTCCCATCACATCACATCACACACAGACACACAGCGTCTCCTCGGGGACTTTGAAGATGCACTGGTGATGAAGAGGACTCCTGAGCATGAGTCCAGGCATTTCCAGCCTCATACTGTTAGCTGCGCTTTCCCCTCGAGGCTGGGCCCCATGTCAGGTATGTCTTCATCCCTGGGGATCAGGACCTGGACTTGAGTCAGAGGCCTGAAGGGGGCCCAGGGCTGTGGGCTACTTGGGGCCAGCCAGCTACAGATGAGTCTTCCACATTGCCACACTGCAATCTCAAAAAAGCCTTGGCTTTTAATCAAGCTAGTGTGTTTCTGAAATCAGGCAGTTATAAGCACTGGGTCACACCAGAGCCATCCACGGCTATGATTAGACACATCAGCTGGCCAGTTCGTAGCCTGCACTCAAGATGTAGAGCTGGTCTGCGGAGCACAGGCAGGCACAGAGAATGGATAAGGAAGGAGAAAAGGGAAGATTGCTGGTCAAGCAGGCCAATTCCCGGGTCAGAGCCTCAGCCTCTCCGAGGGACTATGGTAAGGGGCCTTCTTTGTTATCATAGCCAAAGTCTCTTGGGTCCACACCCATGAGGAACAAAAGTACAGAGCTCCAGCTGGTTGCTGGTGAATCTCCTGCTGATTCCACCAAGGGCCAGATCCTCTGGGCCTGGGTCTCCCCACCTCTTCCCCTTGGCCATGCACAAGCAAAATCCCTTCATGTTGGTAATTAGAGCACGAAAGCCTGTGTCTAAAAAACCTAGACAATGAGGTACACAGGGACAAGACAGTGTCAGGCATGTGACTGTGGTACATAAACAGAAACTCACTCAGTAAAATATCTATAGTCAGTCTCTGACCCAGAGAAACCCCTGTGTTTGGCACATGGATGGGGAAAAATCCACGCCCACTGTGCCTGGCTGGTCCCCTTCAACTGACCTCTGGTTTTGGCCCTATAGCCAGAAGAGTGTGCTTTCCTCTGATGCTGAATCAGAGGTCTAGAAAAGGGAACTCGCCTGTGTGGAGTGTCTGCTCTGTGCCAGGCAGGACACAGATGCTACCTCACTTAATCGTCATAACAGGTGACTGCAGGGAGAACCACTATCCCTGACTTATGGATAGTCAAGTGGCCTATCCACTGTCACCCAGCTAATCAGTGGTCTTGCTGGGACAGGAACCCTGTCTGCCTGTTGCAAAAGCTGCAGTTCTCTGTCAGGCCACTGCCTTTGCTGAGGATTCTTCTAGCACCTGCATGGGGACTCTCCTAACTAGGACCAGGAAGAGTCCCTGTAGAAGCAGCTTCGCGTACCACCTTCTTCCCTCCTGTCTTCCTTCCAAAACAGTAGGGAAAGAGGCTGAAATTGCTTCTCCATCATGCAGTCCCTGAAGTAGGTTCTCTAAAGTCAAGACTTCTCAAGAGAAAGTAAGACAACACCTCAACAGGAACTTACAAGGAATGGCAAACTTCTAATTGATGGCATTAAACAAAACATCTTCCACACCATCAAGGAGCTTCTTGCAAGGGAATGAAAAATGGACAACTCATTGCTGCTTAGCTAGGGCTTGTTGTTCCCAGCCTGGATGGCTGGGATGTTGAGGGAAAGGACAGTTGAGACTCTAAGGAAGATCAGGCAAGTCCTTTAATTTCTTTGAGCCTCATTTCCACAGCTATCAAATGCAGATAATGGCATAATTCTGTCTTAATTGTTGTGGGGAGGAATAAACAAGATTTAAATGTAAAAATGTTTCTAGCAGAAGATCATGTATATAGTAAGTGCTCCATTAAGTATTGGCTATTATTGTAAATCAGTTCATTTTTTAAAATGCCATCTCTAAACTGATGATTTGAGAAGTGGAGGTGTAGAGAACTGGTGCCTTGTTCTACTGAAAGCAAAGAACCCTCAGGCTGGGCTGGGGAAGTTATCTGAAGAACAGAAGAGAGACAATGTCAATACTACAGCAAGAGTCCCAGGAATAGGATGTGAAAGCTATCTGGCTGCGACATCTGTCACCCCATTGATCGCCAGGGTTGATTCGGCTGATCTGGCTGGCTAGGCGGGTGTCCCCTTCCTCCCTCACCACTCCATGTGCGTCCCTCCCGAAGCTGCGTGCTGGGTCAAAGAGGATGACCTTCCCCGATAGAGGAGGACCATTCTTCGGTCAAGGGTATATGAGTAGCTGCGCTCCCCTGCTAGAACCTCCAAACAAACTCTCAAGAGTCTCAGGAACAGTGATGCCTGTCATGCATGGGGTTGGTGCTCTTTTATTTGTGCCAACTCAAACTTAAGTTTCAGGCTTAGAACAAACAGGTTATCTTCCTAAAGAGGGCTCAGGTCCAAGCTCCTAGCCTTAGGGAGCTGGGCTGGATCTCAAGCGGTTCCTAAGAAGCCTGTAATCCCAGTACTTGGGAAGCTGTGGCAGGAGGATGGCAAGTTTAAGGCCAGCCTCAGCAACTTCATGAGATCCTGTCTCAAAAAATATAAAGGGCTGGGGATAAAGCTCAGTGGCAGAACACCTCAGTGTTCAATCCTCAGTTCAACCAGGTGTGTGTGTGTGGGGGGAACACAAAGAAGGAACAATGAGGCCTATGAAGCCAGCTCATTCATTCCTCATGGGAGGAGCCTATTTGTGACTATTTAGAACAATCTTGAAGCTAAGTGTACTGAGACTATTTTTCTATTGCTAAAGAGATAGAGTTTGTGGAGGTGACAGGGCAAAAAAGTTGAAATCATCTGGGACCTTGGGGAGAGGGAGAAAGACACACAGGATTGCAACCCAGGTTTCTCTGCATCTGGATGGCAGCATGACCTGAGGGTACTTGGAATAATTCCCCAATCGGAGGAGAAATCAACAGAAAAGCAGATGCTAAGACAGGAAGCATGTGTTAGGGCACACGGCAGGGAAAAATACTATGTGATCATGAAAACAGTCATTATGAAGACTGTAGCAACATGGAAATGGTTTGTAACATATTGTTAAGGAAAATATGCTACTTGTACGTTACAACTGCAAATAAGTACCTGTGTGTACTGACAGAGACCAAAAGAACTCAGAAAAGTGGAAACAGTTATGCTAGCAAGGCAGAAGAGTGGGCGAGATAAGCTGTATATATATTTGGGTTTTCTTTTTTGTTTTGTCATACTGGCAATCAAACCCAGGGCCTGGCACACACAAGGCAAGCTTAGGTTTTCTTATATGGTATCATGATGCATGCATTAACATAGAATGAAAAATCAGAACTGAAGGGCAGCAGGGTTGGATAAGAATGAAATACAAGCCCATGTCTTAGCCAGATCATTGCCAGTTGTTTGTCAGATCCTTTTTCCTCTCCTCTTACTGGTTCCCCCAAACTTTCCCTTATTGAGAGAGCTAAGGAGGGGAAGAAAGCAGCTGGTTTGGGTGAAACTCAGAGAAACCCACAAGAGGTCCCAGGGATGGTTCTGAACATACTTGAACT